TGACTATGGGTATTTAGATTTTATAGAGCAAGTTGCAGCCGTGTAAAGGGTTTTTGGGATACCGATGGTCATTAAGGATGTCTGAATATAACACGGGTTTTACTAAAGATATTGTAAAACGTTGGCAAGAAATTGGGATTACCTAACGGATGAATAGACACAGCTCCACTGTTTGGAAATAGGTAGCGAGCCAATAGATTGGAGCTGGGGGATGGAGGGCAGATGGGTGTCAACTGAGGAGCGAGCATGATCGGGGCATTCCCAGTATCAGTACTTTCAGGACTGTAGGGTACTTTGAGCATGGTAGGCTAGGCTATTGATGTACACAAACAATAAAATGAACAAAAAAAACTTAGTATAGGTCCAACAGTAAAAGAGTATATAAAAAAAGAAAAAGCAAAAATGATGAAAGTCAGGTAACCACCGTAGTCGTTGCTGGAACAAAAGGGATGACTGTGGCAGAAATGCCTCTGCCACGTGTTCCTAGAGTGGCCTGCTAGCTAGCCTCCTGCCCAAAGACTATGGGCCCTGCAAAAAGCCTGTTAAAAGACTGTGTTCGTGCCATATCTCCATAATGTTTGGGAACTGAACAGAAGCACAAACTATGGACCACCCGGGAGCTTGTTAAGCCCTATCATCACCTCATAACGATTCTAACCGCAGTGTTCTAATTGTTTGTCTGGGTGGCTGCAATTCATATGAACGACCACGATGTGGCGGCCATCTTGTTCGCATGAACGCAGGCAGCGGGGTTTTGTCATCGAGTTCAACTAAAATCAGACACTGAAACTCCCGAACACCGCTGAACTTCAATCATTGCCTGCGTTCGGTTCTGTAGATCCTAGAAGAACACTGTTTGGTGGAATTGTTCATCTGGATGAGGAGAACAAGCTCCATGGTTCAAATATAGACTACGTTCAGTAATGCTTTTGTTTTTATGTTACCAAAGTTGACCGACTGCTAGCATTGATTTGTTGAACCGTTTTAGGCATAGGACCATGTGTGTGGTCGGTCAAATAATTGAGTTGCATGAAAAACCCGAACCCCTGAACCGATCTGGGTGATTTTTGGATATGTTGGTCACCTAAATCGGGGCTATCAGGGAATGTGACTTTTGTATTTGTGTGTTTTGGGGGTACTTTAGAGAGGTTTGTAAATTGTATGTTTTTTGTACCTGAGAGATAATTTAATTATATGTTTGCTTCTCAGATAATTATCTCTCAGGCACAAAGGATCCTGGGAGGGATTTCCCTGTATCCTTGTATGTGAAACCCCTTGCATGGGCCTGTGCATAAAAAGCTGTGTGTAGCCTCCAATAAACCAGATGATTCCCAGCATTAAGCCTTGGCTCATGTGTGGGGAGAAAAAAGCTTTACTGCTACATCACTTGCTCTTTTACTGGCTATACAGCGATACTCTCTTGGAGGAGAGGTCTTCCCAGTGGGAGCTGGATCCAGATGTTTGGTCCAGGGTGGATAGGTACGGTGAGATCCCAGCCAAGCTGTGGCGGCTAAGGGGGCTACGGTGGTTATGGTGTCCGGTGCGGTGCTTATGGTACTCAGTGAGCACTAGGAAGTGTGACTGGCAGAGGTACCAGGGGGTCCGCCACAATAACAGAGGATCCCAGGTCGTGGTTAGGTTGATGTTGTCTAGACCCAGCGCTGCAAGGGTGGTTTCGGTCTCTGAAGCATTGTTCACTTTGTGTTTGGGATTCTGGTGCTGAATGAGGGACAAGGGCGATCCCAGCGATACTTGATGCTCTTAGCAGTCAGGGTGGCTGTCAGAGGTCAGAGAGATTTCCTCCATTGCAAGGTTGCACCGGAGAGGACTGTGAAAAAGATGAGATCCATGTGCTCAAAATGATATGGGGGAATTCCTGCCTGGTCACGTTCAGAAACACCAATTTATCTTGGCCATTCTGGAATTTTATTAGCAGGTCACTGGTGGAGGAGGGTTTTTCCATCTGTGGTTTAGGAAGACTGAACATTCCGTCTAGCAGTATGCCTTTCGAGAGTCTTGGGGGTACAGCCTGCGCAGTAAGTGTGGCAATTCAGTCCCCTGATTTGTAGGTGTTTCCACAGTCTTTTGTCCTCCATTGCTGCTAGTTGGAGGCCTAACCTGGCCTTGGGTTATTTGTGAGGTTGTAATCTGCTCCACAGCCTCCAGGTGTGTAGTGAATGCCCTGACATCCTCCCTTACATGTGATATTTCAGCTGATAGAGTTTGACAGAGGTCTGCCAGGAGACTGGTGAGTATTGGTGTTGTAACTGGAAGGTAAGCTTCCACATTCAGTGGAGTGAGTTTGGCTGGTCCACTGTAGCCCAAGTCTCTCATGGTGTGGAGAGGGCAATTTTCCGACATCTCGGAAAAGTCTGTGTGGTCCGCTGCCACGTCAGGTCCATTCCCTTCTTGCGGCCTACGCAGCAGGTCACCAAGATCGGCAGAATATCCGGGCCGATCTGGCTGCGGTTTTTGCATTTTTGCCCCATCATCGGAGCAATGCTTCCTGGTTGTCAGTGAGTGATTTGTGCCTTTTGGGTACTCTAAATCGGGCAATTGTGTGGCACATCGACAATGGTTGTGGTGCTTGAGGGCTTCTTTTAAAAAGCTTTTCCTCCAGTTATTCAAGTTTCTGTGAAATAACTTATTTTATTACAGTGATAAATAAAAACGCCTTTCTAACCGTGTCACAAACAAATGCAGAGGTTAAATCATCGTTATGGTGGACCACCGTAGTATTGCCGCCAAGAATTTCCCATAGTATTATAGTTCCTTCCCGAGTAAGTAGTGAGTATAGCTGGTATAGCTTTCCTCCCATACATTAGTGGAGACTTAATACTTTGAAGTAGATCTGGGTTTAGTAAGCTCAGCATGGTCATTTATACACAGACCCTAGCATGGGGTCCCTATTCACAGTACAATGATCCCACCCTAGTGCCTCCGTGTTCGGGAAATAATGGAGTTGCTGCTCACTAAACTAGTTATCAGATACAGAGAGCACAACACAAAAACCCCCAACACATTAAAAGGTACAGGAACGTTACGCATTATATATCCCCGGATAGCTCTGATCTGAGCACCCATGTTGTCAAAATAGCGACCAGAACCAAGAAGAGATGACAAAATGCAACCGGAGTAAAATGTTGACACGTGCTCCACGCCCAAAAGAGTTTCAGAATAATTAGTGTTTTGGCCGGTCAAATGTAGGGAGCTCCTGTGGACGAAGTAAGGGGCACTCCCCCTGGCTCCCATGGAGCGATTGTTCCACACAGTCTGAGGCATCTTCCCTACAAAAAAGTACTCTTGTAGCTGGTATGGAAGTAGGCTAAACATCGGGGTGGAGTAGGGAGTAGACGCTGCTGGACTAGAGTTCCAGACGCGTTGCACATAAGTCCTGCTACAGTCTTTGCAGCTTTCTTGACTCCAGTTACTGTCAGGCAAAAGGCGCTCCAGGGCAGTTGGCTTGGAAGGGGCAGGGAACCAGGAGTAGTGAGAATAGTCTTTTGGGTTACAAAATATGGGAAAAGTCAACAAAATAAAGAGGGTTCGTCAAAAATGTATACAAAGCTATCGATACAGGTTTCTTTTACAAGGTTTTAGTAATTCTGGAAAACTGAATTTAAGCTCACTTAACTCCAGTTAAAACAGGAGATTGATGATAATCAGTTGCAGCTAGCACATGGTCCTGAGGCAATTAGAGGGCAATACAATGGCTGAAGCAGATGTTTCTAACTTATGACAAAAGATAGCCAACCATTTATGTCCCAGGGTGGAATGAGTGATGAAGTCCACCAAAATAAAACCAGATTAAAAAAAATAAAAAAAAATAATTATGTTTAGACTATGCGTTAATCTGTTTCCTACTTGAAATTAATAATCAGCTTGTAAAAAGAAAATGTTCCCCCTTCCAGCACTGTAACAAGTATTTTTCTCTTGACAAATAGCACCTGTTTATGAGGATTCAGAAGCAGCCGTAACCCATACATGTAAACATTTGGTCTACCAGTACAAGATTTTGATCATAATGCGTAAGCATTTTTAATTTTTGTAAAGAACATTGGTATTTCAGATACCCGTTTGCTTTTCGTTCCTCCCAAACTGCTAGAGGCTGAGTGATTATAGCTCGCTGTTTGGGTGTTGATTCGAACGTTCTCCAGAAGAAAATACAGCATTCAAGTAGAATTCCCCAGCAATCGGACATATACCCAAACATCAACTCATGGGAACGGCAGCATCTTTTGCCGGTAACAATAAATAGCCCAGAACCGCGACTCCTCTGGAATACCAGTCATTGTCCTCCTCCATGGCCCTTAACAACAGGCCGGGGCCATCGTAGTCCTCCCCCTCTGCCAACCAAGTGTCTCGCTGGACTGCCTCTTACCATAGCGCCCGGTACGAGTCGTCCAGTATCATCTCTCTCTTGACCAGGAACTCAAGGAGCCTTACCAACTCAGTCAGGGGTTGCTCTCCCATGATCACTGTCCGTTGGGTCACTTCCAATGTGCTCTGTACTTTGAAGCTTCTTTTTCCGACGAAGCGGTGCTACCTCCATGGACTCCTACCAGAGTTCTCGCATTACAAATTCTCTCCAGTTTAGTTCCTCCTTCGCTGAAACAGGACCATACTCCTGAGCCAGTGCGCCTTGTAATCTCCACTGGAAGTTCTCTCTATATGGGGACGCTGCCCAGGGGCTAGCTTGCTAGTTCCTCTTTGGACCGGACACTGACAGGGGACTAGTTCCTCTTTAGACCAAGACGCTGCTGGGCTCCTCACTGCCTTCCTGGTTCAAGATCCATTCGGGATACAGATCCCCTCGCTTGCCACCAGTTGTTAAGAATGCTGGTATTTCAGATACCTGTTCGTTTTCGTTCCTCCCAAACTGCTAAAGGCTGATTGATTATAGCTCGCAGTTCAGGTGTTGATTCGAACGTTCTCCAGAAGAAAATACAGCATCCAAGTAGATTGCCCCAGCAATCGGACATATACCCAAACATCAGCATGAACTAGATGAAAGATGCAACAGGAATGAATTTATTCAGGCCAACTTATATGCAAGGGGTTTACCGTGGCATATTTCAGGGGCATTCCCCACTGGACCTGAGAGGGGACTATGGCAAAGTACACACTGTAATTGCATTGGCTCTCAGGTCCAGGACACTCCAACACAAAACAGGGTAATTCCTCCCTTGTGCCTGAGAGATAATGGAATCAGGAACTATACTAAACTCCATTATCTCCAGGCACAGAAAACATACATTTTAACAACATTCTGAAAGTACCCCAAAACACATGGAAACCCCACAAAGGTGACATCACCTGATAGCTCCAATCTGGAGGACTGACATATCCAAAAGTCACCCAGATCGGTTCAGGGATTCAGGATTTCCATGGAAGTCAAATTTTGACCGACCTTGCACATGGTCCTATGCCCAAAACAGTTCCAGGGAGTCAGGGCCAACAGTCAATCTCTCTTTCTGGAGTACAAACGTACATAGATTAGTAGAGGGGCCCCCAGGATGTGGATTGTGAGAACCCTCGCCGGTCCAGAGGAGGGGAGAGGGTAGCAGGGCACCAGCTTGATGTGGCCAAATAATCAGCTTGTTCCGGGAGACACCACAGGATAGGTCTTATGGTAGATTTTGTCTTATCAATCTTTTTTATTTGAGGCAAAAAAAACAAAAACGGTACAGAATAAAGAATGGGGAGTTAAAGCCGATAAACAAACATCATGTATGCAATAGTAACACTATATAGACTCCAGAGTAAATAAAGTTTTATTTTTTTTTAAATTTAATAATATTTAGTTAACATCAAAACATAAGCTAGCTTAGGCATGTCTAGCTAAGAGTCATGATGATGGCTAAGCATATTCAGGCTAAACATTTAATTTGATCATGAGACATATGCAGGATATGAGAGCACTGGCTAGTTAGACGAAGATTGGTACTTTGGATAAGTTGAGATGAGTGTTATAAAAAAATAGTAACAGCTTTAGCAGATAATGCGTACCTTGGCGTGCGCATTGGTTTTAAAGGGTCGTTATGCCTGTGTAACAATCAGGTCCCCTCACTGCCCAATGCACCAGTCTAACTAGTCCCAGCAATGGATATATCCAGGACTTGGTCTCGAGGCTTCTTGAAAGGTTGCTGCAGCTCATATGTAGTGGGAAATCTCTGAGGGAGTGAGCAGTGTCCAGGAAAGTGTCCCGGTTTGGGCTGTGCATTGGATATGACCAGGACTTGGTCTCGAAGCCTCTTGAGATTGCGACAACTCACATGTAGTGGGGAATCTGAGGGAGTGAGCAGTGTCCAGGAAAGTATGCCGGTTGGAGCTGCGGCTGGGACGGCACAGGATCATAGCTGGCATTCGGCACCGCAGCGATTTCCTCGGTATCCGCCTCTGTTTTCCAGCAGTTCTATACCCTGTATTTTGCAATAGTTGCATAACAAACTAAAATAAAGATTGAAGAAAAAAATAAAATAAATACACACACATATGTAGAAAGGCCATTAGGCCTGAATTTGTGGGAGGAGTAAGTCCCCTACTTAAGCTCCCAGCCCCTACTCACCGCTGCCGCTCAGCTGATTGTCCAGCACTTCCGGTCCAGCTTCCCGCCAGAACTGTACCTGTTTCCAGCAGCCAGACGCCCTGTGCAAATCCTCCGTCCGTCCGAGGCCCCTTCCACTCCGTTTCTCTCCGGTCGAGGTACCCGACTTCCGGTCACGAGACCGGCGCGTTCACGTAAGCAAGGCGGGGGAATTAGCGTTCGCTTTTTCCCCGCCGTTCGGGCCTAAAAACGTAGGGGTAGGCTCCCTCCTTTTCGCATTTTCACGAATACACGCTGTTCGTTAATATCTCCATTCGCGCCAAAAAAACGCACGAACGTTCGGCTCATTTCGCTATCATTTAATGCATTTTCGTACGGAAACAACCGAATAAATATTCATGTTTAAGCTCATTATTATCTGCATTCACTTTTCCGTTCGGTTATTTCAGCACCAACCTACTCGTATGGTTAAATTCACGAACACCATCTTACTAATTTACATTCGGTTATTTCTATTCTTTTAAGCTAAGATTGCATAAGTTCTAATCACAGTCCTACTATTATTTATTCCTTCATATCAGTTTGCGGTTACATTATATGGTTAACTACCAGCCCTGTGTTTTCCTACCTTGTTAAACCATTTAAAAGTATTTTTCTGTAATATACATAATGTTCATCACGGCTCATAACTTCATACATGTCTAAATTCAAGCTATACCAATCTTTCCTAATAACACTCAGATAAGTCTTTTTAAACACTATTTACAAGTTATACCCTTTACACATAATCCGTACTATTCCTTGCACATAAATCACGCTGTCACATTTTTCGGCTTTTACAGATTGCATCGGTCTCTTGCTTTTCTGCATTAAAGTTGTTATTCCAAGGTCCTTTTATTACAGGAACAGGTATGGTTTATTATCACCTTGAGTTATCAGGTTTTATCAATTATCTTCACATCTATTGCTAACTATGGAATTTCTCTCGGTTAAACCCTTAGATCCTGTATTAATCTAAGATTCCACCGTTTCCACGCAGTTAACCTGCCACGATTAAAACAATCTCTGTACTTTAATCAAAGGTATAGTTCACTCTCTTTTCAATACTAGACCTCACGCGGTCTCAACTCCATTACTACCTTCCCTCAGGCTTACGCCCAGGATACGTTATCTCTTTACTACCTGTCTACACAGACTTTCGGTCATACGGCCACCAGGCTCAAGAAAACACCAAATCCTGACACGGTACACAGCCATACCTTCAGGTACTTACATCCTTACTCAAGTACGTCCATTCGCTACCCCAAGGCCTCATTCTGCCTTCTCAATCATATCCAAAATCATCCCATTCCTACACCTAAACCTCCCAGATCCCTCAATGCAGGATCTCACGTCGTGCCCCTAACAAACCTTCTCCCTATACTATTCATACGACATCACGATACGTATAAACACATCAACATCTGTCTTAAACCCCCAGGATTCTTCCTCAAAGACAGCATTAAGACAAGACTCTCTACACTTACCAGGAGGCTCCAGATACCATTTGCGACCAGTCAAGGTTAGTATCCACACACCATTCCAGTCCTCTAACTTTACCCTTTAGCATACTATCGAACTGGCTATACGGCACAGGCTAATGCCTTAGCCCACCTTATCAGGAAATCTGATCCCGCGAGGCCTACCACCCCCACCCCACCTCAACACGGAGGTACGGCCCCACGCCCAAATCATAGTTATAAGCCTCGCATGCCTTACTATAGGGCTCTAGTTAGGGCCTCACCTGTCACGGCCACACGTTTTGATTTCTCTTATCGTCACCGAGAGGCCAACATCCCGCCACCACGTCTGTGGCACCTACGTCATAAGCCAAATCATAGGTAGAGCCTCTCATCGCCACTTGGCATTAGCAGGGCCTCACCTATCCAGTCATTCAATAGTTAAGTTTTTCGCCTCGGCATCTAGCATTAAAGTCCAGTTCTTCAAGACACACCACTCCCCATACCCCCCCCTTCTTACCTCACTCCCCTTCTAATATATCTTTCACATAATCATTCCTTTTTAGAATGTCCCAAGAACCAATTCCAACCGAAGAACTGACAGAAGAAGCACCATTCACGCCAATCAGACCCGTGTCTCCAGGCGAATCACTCACTCTTTCAACCCCCACGTCCTTGAGAGCATGGACTATTCCCAAAATCACAGCCGAGCTTAGGCTCAGGGGAATCCCCTTTCCGGCCACAGCTAGAAAGGCAGAACTTTACAGGCTGCTTACCCACCAAGTCCCCGAGCCTCGGCCGGGAACTAGCTCTCAAGGACAACCACCAAGTACCAGCACGGCCACCCAGGATACCCTGGCAGATATCTTGGCCAATCTACAGGCCCTCAATAGCAGGCTGTCTAAGGTGGAGAGCGCCATCTCCTCCTCAGGTACTAACACCGTAGTCCCAGTCTCTACCACGGCTGTACCTGCCATACCTTCATGTCCCTCTATACTCCCCCCTCCAGCACCTGGCACAGCCATCACACCTTTCGAGTCACCAGCACACTCCGTCCCAGATTCTATCAGGAAAGATATCCTTGACGGGAAGGATGTGTGTCTGGTGTCTTTACTCATAGCCTCTCAGGATGTACTCGAGAACAAGGCATACAATTATGGTGACATCTCTGTTGTGCTTAAAACGAGGGATCCCAGGCTTAATAAAAAATTGTCTATCCCACAGTTTGTGATAGCTTTCGGGATATACCGCGACGTCATTTGCACGGTGTATCCCCATAGGAGAGAAGAGCTAGATCTCTATCTCCACAAGGTAGTGGATCTAGGCATCAAGTACGGGGGCTCTTCCTTCTATGACTACCACAAGTCAGTCTCAGCGAAGGCGGCGACCCATCTCAAGCAGTTCAACATTAGAATGAACTGGGGTCAGATGGACACTGAACTTTTCTGTCGCCACTTCGCCGGACTCAGGCCCCCGGCTTGTGCCATCTGTAATTCCACATCCCACATGGCGGACTTATGTCCCGTCGAACCAGATCCCACCACCTCCACTCTCACCCCTCACCCCACGTTCACACCTCACTCCTCTTTCACCCCTCACAAGCCAGCGGGTGGTCTCCGGGATAAGCTGGGTAGGCCCATCTCCTTTTTAGGTAAAGCACAGGTGTGCAATAATTTCAACGCAGGCTCCTGCAGTTTCAGCGCCTGTAGACTATTGCACATCTGCTCCATATGTTTCAGGGCACATACCAAGACCATGTGTCCAGCCAGGTTGTCACCAAACAAATGACTAACCGACATTAATATCGATAACCTGGTTTTTTATCTAAGGTGTCACCCCAGCAGGCACTTAGTGGATTTTCTCACCACAGGTTTTTCACAAGGGTTTCACACAGGCATAATAGCCATTCCCCCAGGTACACTAGAATGTCCTAATCTCCAGTCTGCACGTTTAGACCCAGTCGCTGTAGACACTCTCATTTCCGCAGAAACCACAAGCGGTTTCATGATCGGTCCTTTCACCTCTTCACCGTTTTCCTCCTGGCGCACTAACCCTATTGGTATTGCTATTCACAAATATTCTAATAAAAAACGTCTCATTATCGATTTATCGGCACCGCACTCCTCTTTTGTTCCAAGCATAAACGCACTCATTCCAGCAGACGAATTCTCTCTGCAGTACGTCACCATCGACGACGCCATACAGTCTATCATGACATCTGGTAATCGACCCTGGCTCAGCAAAACAGACATCACTAACGCCTTTAAATTACTGCCCATACACCCCTCACTCTGGCACTTACACGGTGTTAAATGGCGAGGGTATTATTACTTCTCAACACGACTCACTTTTGGTTCCCGAAGCAGCCCCAAACTTTTCGACATTTTCGCTGAGTCACTATGCTGGCTGCTTCTGAATGTCATCAGGTGTCACTCCGTTATTCACTATCTAGATGACTTTCTACTGATAGAGCCAGGGTCATCAACACCCACAGCAATCAATAGTACTACCGGACTTTTTTCCACACTTGGAGTCCCTTTGTCCCCAGCCAAAACTATAGGACCCACCACAAAGTTGACCTTTTTAGGCATAGAGCTCGATTCTGTCAAACTCAGAGCTAGCCTTCCACACGACAAACTTTCACGATTGAGAGGGGAGATAGACACGTTCCTGCGGAATGACGTTTGCACCAGGAGAGAACTTCAGTCCCTTCTTGGATCTCTGAACTTCGCCATGCGCATCATTCCGCAGGGAAGGTCTTTTATTTCCAGACTTCTTTGCCTGCTCCATGGAGTCCCGGACTCCGGCACAGTTTCTTTGGACCCCCACGCCAAGGCTGACTTGGCTATGTGGGGGAAGTTTTTGAAAGACTGGAATGGTATCTCCATGTTTATCCCCCTCTCTCCACCTCTTCACCCATCATCCACACAGACGCAGCAGCCAACACCGGTTTCGCAGCCATTTTTGGGAACCACTGGTTTAGGGGCCACTGGCCCACTGAGACGGATGCCTTGCCAGGATTCAGGGAAACCTCAACCCTATTTGAAATTTACCCCATTGTGGCGGCCGCACACACCTGGGGTCATCTCTGGTCCGGCAAGGCAGTAAAATGCTACTCAGATAACTCGGCAGCTTGCGATATTATTAACAAAGGGCGCTCATCATCCCTAACCATCATGCGGCTGATTCGCAAGTTGACCTGGCTGGCAGCATCCAATCAGTTTCACTTAGTATGTTCTCATATCCCGGGTATTCACAACACCGCCGCTGACGCTCTTTCTCGTTCTCGATTCCAGGCATTTTCTCAGGCACTCCCAGCAGCTCACCATCAGCCATCCAGGACACCACGGTTTCACGAACTAATATTGGATTAAGCACACTCTTGCTTCACGCTAGATCACTCA